TGCTCTGACAGCCCTGACTCCCCTGGCCCCCACAGTTTGCCAACCTCTCAGACGCAGCCAACCGCAACCATGAGGCACTGCGTCTGGCCAAGCAAGAGATGAACGAGTCACGGCGGCAGATCCAAAGCCTCACCTGCGAGGTGGATGGGCTGAAGGGCATGGTGAGAGCTGGGGGGAGGGCCGGGGGGGGCGTAAGCATCGGGTCCCTGGCCCCATATGGCCCCTTCTCCTCCTGCAGAACGAGGCATTGCAGCGGCAGATGAGGGAGATGGAGAATGAGTTCGGGGAGGAGATCGGAAACTACCAGGATGTGGTGAGGCGGCTGGAGCAGGAGATCCAGCAGATGAAGGAGGAGATGGCACGGCACCTCTGCGAGTACCAGGACCTGCTCAACGTCAAGATGGCCCTGGACATCGAGATTGCCACATACCGCAAGCTGCTGGAGGGCGAAGAGGGCCGGTGAGGCTGCTCTGTCCTGCTGAGGGGAGGCTGGCACACAGAGCCTCCTGTCCCTGTCACTGCTGGGGTGCAGACTCTGGCTGGGGGAGAATGTCCCCATTGTTGGATCACCCCAGTTGTTTTGGGATTTTCTTGCAAGGAGGCAGCTCTGAGCACCGTTTCTTTGGGCAAACAAAAAATTCCCATGGGAGCTTCTTGCTACCGAGATAAAGGCAAGGCCAGGGGAAGGCGTGTTGGCAGGGGAGCTGCCACCAGCTCCTTTCCTGCCATCTGCCTGGCAGCTCACCAGCATCGCCCACCGCTGGCCCGGCACAGATTAACTGTGTGGGTCACTTACTCAGTGGTGTGGAAGGGTCAGGGTCACCAGCGATGTCCAGGAGCCCCAGACACCTCTCACCCCTCTCTCCCCCTGCAGCATCACCATCCCCCTGCACCCTGCCACCTCCTTCAGCATGAGAAGCTCAGGTGAGGGGCGGGGTGGGGGCAGACACCCCACAGAGGTGCAGGTGGGTGCCTGTGCCCCTGCCCGAGGTGGTCTTGCACCCACCCACACCCTGGGTAGGGGCAGAGGGGGCTGTTGGCCTCTCTGTGCCCCAGTGCTGGAGCCGCAGCCTGCGGAGAGCCCAGCGTGGAGGATGGTACTCATCAAAACCATTGAGACGCAGGATGGGCAGGTGAGGGTTGGGGGCTGCAAGCAGGGGGCGGGTCCCTGCCGTGGGGCTGACCTCCACCTTCTCCCTCTGCAGCAGATGGTGACAGAGCGAGCAGAGCTGGGGAAGTGACAGAGGGGACCTGCTGTCCTGGCCCCCATCCTGCACCGCTGGACCCTGAGGAGTGGCAGCAGGGGTGTGTGTGTGTGTACGCTTCGCCGGACCCCACTGAGCCCTGTGAGTGGGGCCGGCTGCCCCCCATCCCCACTGTCAGTACAGTGGCGTGATGGTGTGGGACATCCCCGTGCCTTGTCCCCTTCTCTATTTATTGCTATTTGTTGCATATTTATTTTTCTCCCTACTGGAACCTCAGTTGTATTTAATGTTTATCAACTGTCTCCTGCACTGCCCTGGCTCCATGGCTGGAGGGGTCCCAGCTCCCTTCCCGACAGTGGAGGCAGCACTGGCTGCCCCCGGGGTTTGTGAGCACCAATGGTCCCCAGACGCTGCCCACTCCTGGTGTCTCGGCCCTGCCTTGGCCCCAGCTCCTGTGGGCCTGGGCCCTCGGGGCGGGAAGGGGGGCAGGGC